TCTAAAATTTGTTGTTCGAATGGTGTTTTATAGAAAACTATTTTCTCTTTCGTTTACCCTGGATGTGCGGAACGGACATACATATATATATATATGCGTTTCTTTCTGTTCTAGTTGGTCTGATGTAGTGTAGTCGTTGTGTGTATGTGTATCCGTACATGTTAAGTAGTGATTTAATAAAGAGATGGGGAGAACATCAACATCCCCTAATAGATGGTACTCAAGATAAAATAGTTTTCTATAAAACACCATTCGAACAACAAATTTTAGAAAACAAACGGTACTTTTTGCGTTTAAACGCATTTTCTCTAAATATTGTTTGAACGTATTTGCTTTATTCAGTTTTCTGCATTTACCAAAAAATTCGAGTATTTCTCATATTGATATAATGAATAGATGATGAGCTACTCTATTGAATCGTATAGTTTCTAATCTTCTCCATAATATTGATAAATTCTGAAAACTGTTGAAACAAAACTATTGCATGTTTATTTTTCCGTGATATTGTTAAGGATGAAAATTGTTTCAGATAGAAAATATTCATTCGAGTTAAACGTGCAAAAGATCTAAAATGAAACTATTTTTAAATAGAGGAGAATATTGAATTTGAGTCTTTAAATTTTGCTTTATCTTTTTTCAGTTAGAAAAAAAACAAGCTTATATTAATAAATGCTCTATTCAGATTGATCAGCACAGAAACTTTAACCTGTTTAAACATCCACGAAAAAAAAGTCTCCAAAACTCAGTACAAAACATAATGAATAAACCCAATGAAATATATCTATTTGACTCGAGAAAGAAACAATCTGTAATTCAATGTTTTCAAAGAGACATGAAGCGAATAAAAGTAAGTTGCCTTGCTTTTTTTGTTTGATTTCCACGATGAATAGTTGTGTTAGTTGATGATTGGATAGAATAAGTCATAATATGGATTTTCGAAATGAACAAAAGGATCATGTTGCGCAGATTGATGAGCTGATCGACTCTTCTGTTGCTTTATACAGTCAACGACACTGTGACGAAAAAGAGGGATAGACTGTTTCGTTTCCGTAGCATTTATTTTATTTTGATCACAATGACAAACTGGAGGAGTATCGTTTCTGCTATCATCGATGTGCAATGTTCACAAGAGAGCTCTATCACTTCAGTTGTCTCTACTATACATACAACACGAGTTTATATGTGAAACCAATGAGAAGAGAGCACAGATAGAACGGTCAGCTATTGTCAGTCATCAGGTCAGAGCATCTAGCTGTGTTGTGACCGACTGCTGTCACATAAATCAATCAATAAACTATGTCCATAGGTCGAGATCCCATTATCCGCATAAACACTAATCATTAAGAGAGTTGCCTTCGGTCATAAGATGAATCGAACAGGAAAATTATGAAAAAGCCTTTTTTTTCCTCAATTTGAACAGTAAAAATTTGCTTAATTTTTTCATGTTTTATCCTCTTTTTTAGTTTTTCTTTTGATAAATAGTCGGTTTCGGTTATAAAGCAAATCCATTAATAAAAATTTTGCATAGTGACCTAAAATAATCTAGATCTCGATTACCTCATTATTTATAATAGTATCATTCATTCTTAGAAAGTTAAAATTCTTTCTAGATAGATTTACTATTATTTATATGAGTGAGTCATATATCAGTGTTAATGAGTAACTTTGATATCCAAATAATGTATATTCTTAAAAGAAAATAAGTTAATGAATACTATCTTCATATTTTAGTAATATCTCACTGAACTATGAAATCTTCATAGCTCGGTAGAGATTTTTCTTCCTTTTTAATCGTTTTATGTTGATGAATTTCAAATAAATATTTTAATTGATCTATAACTTTTAATGTTTGTTGATGATCAGTTGTACAAATAATCGGTGATGTTAATATTAAATAATTGTTAAATGAACAATGTAAATAACATTGAATATTAAGTTGACATTGACATCGAACGTTTTTATAAATCGATGTTGAAGCCATTAATCGACATTTTTTCTAATGGTATTGCTAATTCATATGTACATTGACAATATTGATCATTAAATCCATTTAGTTTAAATCTAGGTAAAACAGTTGAAAATATAATTATATGGGTTTATTGATCTTTTATTAATCGATATGGTTTCAGTATTGCTCGATTTGATTTAATTGCTAATTTATTTGGATTATCAATTTCAGTTTGTAACATCAGAGTCTGACTGAGTACAGCAAGTCCATTATTAGGAAGAGTACCAGGTTATTTAACACCTTTATGTTGTGCACTAGATTCAATAATATTATTCGTTAATGATTATTGAGTAACAGATGATATTGGAGTTCGAGTAAATATGAGAACAGAAAGTTTTCTCGGAAAATCGTCATTATGAGCACGATTAAGATAAACACGAGCATAATAACAAATACATGGATCACAATCATCATCAGGTGGTAATGATGGCGGAAGAAATAAATCTAATATAATATCGAATGACCATCTGCAACTTCGAAGACCATTCACTTCCTTAACAAATATCAACATTTTAACATATGGACAACATTCAATGGTGGACTAGGAAAGCCACTCAGAAATCTTACTTTCTAATATAAATATCAAATCTATCAGACACAAAATTTAAAAAATTCTTTTCAATGGATTTTGAATCAAAAAATAATCGACCCGACAGACTCGAGATCTTCATGTTTTCAAGATGATAAGATTTTATTTTTAGAAAAATTCTCCGTTAAAATCAATATCAAATCTGTTTATGATTGTTATTAGATAGCTTAATAATTTGTACTCGTTTTCTGAAGAATATTTCCACATCTTTACCGAATATGTCTTTATCTGATGTGAAATCGTGAATTTCACCAATCAGTTCAACATTCAATGGACCGTATTTAAAGTCAAAATCATTATAATTATAATTTGCTGTTATTTTATTAATACCTTGAACATGATCACCACTTAAATAAAAATCATTTGGGGTTTCACGAGTGAAATCAACTTTATACCAAAAGTATAACGATGACAGACCACTATTTCCCATTTTTAAGTGTTTACATATAGATACGTTCCGACTAAATTACAAGGAAACATAGTCACTCAACAAATATAGGGCTATCGGAAAAGAAAAAATAAGAAATGATCACACTACTAACACTGGGAACATCAGAAGGGTGTGGGTGTGGGTATGGGTATGGGTGTGGGATGTGGGTGTGGGTTGTGGTTGGTGGGTAGGTTGGTGCGGATGCGACATGAGGCTTTTCTTCATACCCACACTCACATCAACATCAACACCAACACCAACACCCACACCCACACCCACACCCACACCCACCCCCACATCCACACCCACACTCACACCAACACCCATACCCACACCCACACCCACACCCACACTCACACCAACACCCATACCCACACCCACACCCACACCCACACCCACACTCACACCAACACCCATACCCACACCCGATACCAGTACCGGTCCGGAAAAAAGTACATCGGTTCTATCTCTGCCCACACCAACCCACACCCATACCCTATGTAGAACTTAAGGCAGTAATATCTGATGGAAAGCTGAGTCATTTCTGTACTTTTTTAGTAATTTCGGAAAGTCTGGGTAGTAGCTACTTGGTTATTTTGTTACTGAATGAGAAATTTTCTTTTGAATGAAAGTTTCTCTTTTGTGAAGTTGAAATATAGGCTTTGAAGAGAATTTACTTAAAGAAGAGGAGTGCATGGGTTTTTTTTTCACAACGATGGCATGCTACAAGTCGGTGAAATTTGTTTGTAAAGAAGGAATATGGCAATTGAAGTCAGTAGCTAATGAAGTAGTTCTCTATTTACTGACAACGTAGAAAAACAGGAAAAAAATAGAGAAAAGAATTAATTTTGCAAATGAAACGATGCTGGATTCGATGTGCTTGCAGAAAAGCAATTATCGTAGTGTCTAGGCACATAAATAACCAAATGGTATATTTAAGCTAATGTATTTTAAGACTCATCGAGCATTTCGTTGCTTGGTTTTCTGAGAAACTTAAAAATTAATCAGTATGTATGCATTCAAATAATTAGAAAACGACTAACTGTTATAAAATCTTTATTGGAAAAACGCGCATGGAGAAATGAGTTTCTCAGTGTTCTTTTTTCCATGTATATCTTCTGTTCCCATTAAATACTCAAAGCTTTTTTCATTGGTTTAAATTTGTTTTTCATTTTTTGATATCCACTGTTTGCTGACACTAGCAAATATTTCTCTCTCTCTTTTTCCATGCGCATTTAAAATTGTTTTTCATAACATAACAGAAATGGCGTCAACGGCGTTTATTACATTGAAACTTTATGCTACGGAATTAAACCTTTTTAAAACAACTTCAAGCGATGAACAGAGTTTTCATCGAGAACGGCTTACAACACGAATCTACATTTTTTCATTGATGAGTCTTCTTATTATTGTTGGTATTGTCGCTGGATCAGTTGTACGAACAGCAAATGAAATAGAATATATACCTTCACAATCGAAGTTTGTCTATTTGGTGAAACGTTATCCATCTACTCTAAAATGTCCATGTTCAAAAACCGGTATTGCTTATGAAACATTTGTTAACACTCATGCCAACTTTCACCAAGTATGTTCGAGTGACTTTATTACACAAACATGGATTGATTTGGTATTTACAAAAATGAATACAAATTTGTCAACTACCTATGACATTAAAAACTATCTGAGCTTTTTTTGGCAAGTCATACAGGATTTTTGTCACATTAGTAATACAACTTGGATCAGTGCTAGGGCAAGTTTTGGTGCATCATATATTGTCAGTCCAATGGCGGTTGCTGAAGATGTCATTCGAAAGCAATCTGAAGAAGCTCTTATAAATCACATTTCATTGGCTCAAACAACTGTGACTCGTAATTTACTTACTATTCGCAGCACCATAAGTGGTAACAAATTCATATCTGCTCTAGCTACCAACTTTCACTTAACATATCTCCCATCAAATTCAGAAAATGAAAGTTTTCCAAAAATGCTCCCAAGAGAATACAATAACTGTTCCTGCTTGACTAATATTAGTTGTCCACATCCACTCCTCATCAACAATACTGATCATCATTTAGTAGTAGTACCAGGACTGATCGCTGACTGTTTGATTGTCGATGCTACACTTTCTTCAACATTTGAATGCTATTATGATCCGACATGTTTTGCTCTATTGCATAGCGAATTTATTACACAAATGAAATTATTATCAATTAATTCCAACAAACATTTTCGTATAAATATGACTGTGGAAATGCTTCTCAATGAATTAATGATTGATGAAGTGATTAGTAAAATTACTTTTGATTCATTTTATCAACAATGCAGCCCTGCTCATTGTTCATACAGTTACAATCAACGGTTTTCCCCACTTTATATCGTTACTACAATGATTGGCGTGTTTGGGATCCTCTCATTCGTATTACGACTTATTATTCCTCGTATATTATCAGTTATCCTTCGTTGGCCTCAGAGAAATCTAACATCAGCAGATATGCTACGGAATGAAATCCACTCTCGGCCACGGTTTCGTAAGTTTGAAAGTGATAGCAGAAGTGGAGTCCGTTTTTGTTTTTTTGGCTCCTGTAGTAGGACTCATCAAAAGAACCATAAGTTTTCAGTTCAGATATATTGCAATCAGTTAATGAAAAGTTTTCTTTTGCATCAGATATTCGGATGGCGTTAAATAAAAATCATCTCATTGTTCGTTGCACTTCTGTCAGCATACAGATCCAACGTGATTGAAATCTTTTTAATGCCAGAATAGTTCACTTTCTGTTCGACATTGCACTTTCTTGTCTATAAAAACTAGTTGTTCTTTGAAGTTTCAATCGTTGTTTACTCGTTAAGTTTTCATTGTTGCGACTATTGAATATGAATTCTACATGCAAGTTTACAGTCGATAACGCTCTCGCTCCTTTTTTGTGGAACTCACGTATATTTTCGAAGAAAATAGTGAGTGTAAGTTTTAAGGTCGAGGTTTCTCGACTTCTTCCTCCCCATCCCATTACAGACACTTAGCAACGCAAGAAAATATTATAGACATATCCCCCATTACAGACCTCAGCAACCGCGCACAAAAGGATTCAGATTCTATACAATATTCTAATGCATTCATAAATATTTGAAAAAAGAAGTATTATCAGTTTACAAATAATGCACTAGAATAACAACTTGGAAGGATATACGTGAGTTCTACTTTTCAGCTCCAAAGAAGCTGCACTGACAAGCTGTTTGTGTCAGTTTTTCTGATGAATGAGTAGAAAATTTGCCATACTCAATAATTATTCGAATTCATTCATATTGGTCAGTCTTTTGAAGCACATAAATATTGCATTCTTTTTCTGTTTACAGTACGGACAATCTTCAATCGTGTTAAACATATTCTGATCAACGTTCTAATGACTCTGATAGCTCTGAATTTTTTCGAAGAGAAATATTTATATACGTCAAGAAATATACAGCGAGAGCGAATTTTAACACGATGGTTTATTCTCTTATTTCTTCTAAATGTGGTTTGTATTGGATTTTACATAGTTGTCTCTGAAGATGATCAGATTGTCACGATTGACCGTCCATCACTGATTACATATGAGAAGTTGTATGATCAACATTCATCTACAATACAGTGTCCTTGTTCACAACTAGCAGTTCCTTATGGTACGTTTTCAAATGTAACATTTATTTTACATGAAGTGTGTTCGAGTGATTTCGTTTCATCAAAATGGCTCAATTATCTTAAATTATTCGATCCAAATAATGTACCAACTTGGACAGAAACAGACTTTTCACGCGACTTTCGTACGTTTGGTATAATCTATTTTGAACTTTTGACCATGTTATGCTCACTGTCTCAAAGAACTATTGAAGATGCACAGAGAACATTCATTTCTACAAAATTGATCAATAATAATCTTCTACCTCGATCGCTATTTGTTCAACAAACTCAAACTATTGTCAAATCATTCGTCGATCAAACACACAATGACTTTGTACGTATGTGGAATTGGATTGAAGTTGCTGAGATAATTAGTCAGTTTCTATCGGGGACCAATATGAATTTTCGCATTTCAGTCCTGGATAACAATCAAGTGATGTTTTCTGATGTTATATATTATCCTGATGCAGAGATAAGTACTGATTCCATAAATATAATCAATTCATGCACATGCTCAGAGGCCTCTGAATTATGCTCTGTGACGCCTATTATTTATACCAATGGAACGAGCTTTTCTGAGTTTGTTCTAGTTTTTGATGAGCTTCAGATTGGCTGTATACCTTTGGTTGGATTCCTCGCGTCAAAGATTAATTGGTGGTACGATATGAGTTATATACAAAATATTTTGGAAGCATATGCTTTCGTTATTGCTTCCTCGTCTCCACCTGACATCAAACCACTTAACCGATCAGTGTCCTTAGAATTTATAAATGAAGATACGAAAACTCTAACTTTAAAACTATTCGTAGAAAAAGAAATCGTGAACGAAACACACTTCGATCTTTTCTATGATCAATGTGCTCCTGCTACCTGCTCATATCGAATCACGAAACGACGCAATATTATCGTCGCTATACTATTACTTATGAGTATATGTGGTGGACTCAATCGAGGTCTTCAAATTCTTTTACCATTGATTTGTAAGATTGTTTTCTTTTGTATTGACAAATGGAAAACACGGAAAGTGGTTCGTGGTAAGTGAACTTTATAGAATAGATATGCTTTTATTTCTTTGAAAATTTTACTGAAAAAATTCACGAGTAAAGTAATACTAGAGTACATAATGTTTTTATTACATGAATATCAGCTACAATGAAAAGCCTCAGTAATACAGTAGATCTGAGCCAGCGGAAAACATGTCACGGATCATGTAGTGAACAAATTAAAGAGTTAATGTAGTCTAGATATGCAGCAGGTATAGTCCCGACTGGTTCTCTGTGTGCACAGTCCTCCTATTGAATATTCGGTAAAAAGATTTAGAATTATTTTGGTTATCAGTATTTTTGTTCGAATATGCTGAAATTCTCTGAATACAGGGTTGCGCAAAAGTCACGTTACCGAACCAAACAATTGAATATCTCCACTAAAGATCGAAACAAATGAGCTGATTTTTTTACCAAAAATAGAGGCATGTTCACACTTTAAATCGACAGCGGAAAGATTAGGGAGAGTCTTTGTTAAGTACCATTGCTGACACTAACAAAAAAATATTGCTTTGTCACATATAGGGAAAAAGAACAATATACAGAGTGGGGCAAGAGTCACTTTAGCGAGAAAGAAATTGAATATCTCCATTATGGCTCAAGCAAACCAGCTGATTTTTTTACCTATGATAGAGACATACTCTAGCTTTATATCTATAAAGACATGCCTAGAGAGATCTTTTATTAGGTGCATTGATCTTTTCCCTATGTGTCAAAGTAATATTTTTTTGTTAAGGTCAGCAATGGTACTTAACAAAGGGTCTCCCTAATCTTTCCGCTATCAATTTAAAGTGTGAACATGCCTCTATTTTTGGTAAAAAAATCAGCTCATTTGCTTCGACCTTTAGTGGAGATATTCAATTTTTTTGTTTGGTAACGTGACTTTTGCGCCACCCTGTATAATGTTACTAATATACTAATAAATATTATTATATTGAACTAGTTCATTAGTCATATATTTCCCTAACAGTAGGGAGAGTTATACAAAATATAATGCGTTTGGGCTTATGCATGTTTGCCTGTGCGTGAGAAGTCACGTATACTTATACATTTTTGAAGGCTTATAAAATTTAACGCAAGATTTCAAACTTTGGATAAACTAGATCAGTAATCAGTTCTCGCATTTTTCCTAAAAAAGAGCACACTTGAAATTTTAAGAAACTGATTATCGATTCGAATCTCTCGATCCCAAAGGATTTTTTTTGGGTTAGGTTTTATGGAAAAAAACATGTTTCTACTCGAATAGTTACTTTTTGGTGAAGTATTCAAATTAACGTTTACATTTTCAGTGAAAGTAATTGAAGGGCTGTTATAAACCTGATCAATCCTACCAGCTAAACGATAAGCTAAAATGTTAGTTATACTGCATTAGAGCGGAGAAAAACTTGAAATTTCCAAAAAATCTGTAGAGAATCCAATTATCCAAAAATATTATCATGTAAATAACAATAATGGTTCATATCGAGGGACTAATCATACCAAAACTGGCGCATCCATAAATTGAACAGATAGTGATATTGTAATAATAAATGAATTCAGTATCATAATAGTTCTTAGTATATCCATATCATTATATTCAGCGAATGTTCATATAAACAAACGAAGATACTGTTGATTGACTCAACTCTAGGTTCATCTACTGACCATCCAATCCGTCTAGACTCTTGCATACCTAGTGTAATCAAGAACGGTGATGAATTTCGATTAGAGCTTTGAGATCTTGTGATCACAATCGTTCAAGCTACAAGCTAATGCACGATTCAAAAAAAGGGAAACCTACTATCGAAGATATCTGCCTTTCGACTCTTTTCATTATCAAAACTCTGCTTTCGTCACTGACCATGGATAGGTTTGTGTTGTTAATTAATTAGATCACTGTTATTTTGTTTTACAAACTAACTCTAAAAAGTAGAATGTGCCTCGAGAAAAATATTTCGATAAATTATATAAAAATGTAGCAAGACCCGATATTCAAACGTGAAGAATTTTTCAGGTTAAGGTAGCATGATAACTCATAGACTAAAAAGCAGAGCGCTTTTAAATGGCTTCCCAATGAGATTGTTAATCATTTAAAAATAATTTTTTTTACGCCAACTTTTCTCGGTAATTTCGTTTCTTCGTAGACACAAGATATAGTTTTGCTCTTGTGATTGATATTGATGAAGGTTACATCCAGCTATCCTATGCAATCAGCTTTGGAGTTTCGACATGATCTACTAGCACGATATGACATCCGAAAAAAGTATTCCTTAGACGGGGGGGGGGGTATAGAAGAATCGAAAAAGAAATATCAAAAATATTTGCCACAAGTAGGCTCAATGATCATTAGAATGCCTTAAAATTTTCAGACAACATCAGTGCTTCCTACTCGACATATGCCACTTTGAAAAAAAGTTGATGTTGTAAAAATACCATTGTTTTCTTTTTCGTATTTAATACCTCGTCAAGAAAGCATCCATTTTTGTTGAAAATTTTAGAGCATCTCCTATGAATTACGTCAGCTATTTGAAGGCGAACTTACAGATCAACTTTCTTTTCTTTTGATTTCTCTTTAAAGTCGAATATTACTTCAGAGATATATACTCAATATTTCCAGAAGAAGACCATAACAATTCTGTTGGGCTATAGGACAAGAATACTGGAGATCTATAATTTCTATTTTTGTGATCAGTTTCCTCCCGTTGTCAAAAAATATGCTACCCTGATCTTCAAGGGTTAAATAACGATCAGTTTTATATAATTAATAGGACAAAGCACCTCATTTAAGAACCTCTTTGAGTAATTTCCCTTTAAAAATCAATCTCAGTCTATGTGCATCCTAATCGGATGACACTTTCAGCATATGTTTGGACTATTATGACAAAGTTATGATGAAATTTTCAGCTCAATGTCGTAACATTTGGCAGAAATGTTTAGCAAACAACAGTCAAACATGACATACTTGGCAAACCGACTTTCTCAGCTAACTCTCACTATAAAAACGTTTGCATATGACTACAAACAAAGCTTACTTTTGAAAAGAGACTTTGCTATGCACTGCATCTTGCCATGATACTTTTAACTAAAGCGAATAAAATGTATGGCATGAGAATCCACGAAGAATTCTTATTTGAGTAATCAAGAAAGCATAAATTGAAAAAGCAAAAAAGATTTTCCGGTTTTGCTGGAAAGAACATGCTTTTTAGAAGAAAAATAATCGAATTTTCTAAGAAAGACAAAGTGTTAAATCACAACTCATATCATTAATGCGAGAAAAAACAGGTGATCATCTTCCTACTTATTTGTCACAATTCTAGAATTTCTCGTCAAAATCAACTTTGATAATAAGATACTTCTGTTAGCATCAAAAGTCAACATATCTGTTGGGAACAGTTTCAATCAGGCAAGTGAGCTATGAATGACCGGGGGTGGGACAATGTCTAAAATATACATGACTTTTTCGTAAAAAGACGATAGTGGCAACCTGTGACATCTCTTGATCATTTTTTTTGCTTTCTTCACACTCGGCCCGTTTTATTCCATATGCAAACCGGATCGAACCATCGACGACACCTCTGATACACCCTTAGACATATTTTGTTTGACTATCTTGATTCGCACTCACCAGCAACAGCTCGTATTTTGAATTTGTTAGTTTTTTGGAAAGATCTTTAAGTTAACTCGAATATATTTAACCCGATCAACGAACAACCCAACGCTTTCCATAGTCAATTGAAAGCTTAATTGTTTTAATATAAATAAGCGGACAATAAAAATGGTCAAGTCTTCATTTCTTCAAGGTCGATAAAATGGACTAAGTTAAAATAGATAGTACTTCTTATCGCCTAACCTTCGCAGAAATTCAGAATTCTTAAATGTTTATTGCCAATTTATCATCGATTGGCATTGATAATATTCTTTGAAAGATGATATTCGAGATGCGATTGTGTCATGTCAATTCCTTCTACATGTAAGAATGCACTTCTTGGTAATCATATGTAATATTTTTCTACTCATTAGAAAAGAATTGCATGCATACGGAATATGAGATTGAGTTTTTACATGAATCTGTAGCTGTGAGATGGGCATGTTTGATATGACTAAGGAAGAAACAGCAACCATTTTCTCATCGCGTCTACTCTCACAGATAGTGTTTATGATGATTTTTATCTTTTCTTGCTTTGATTTTTACTGTTTGATCCTTCTGTTTAGCTATACTTTACTAAAGAAATTCTTATACATACACAATGCATTTGAATTCAAATAAAATGAATGATTTATTTTTTATATGCGAACATTGTTGAACATTAGAAAAAGTTTTGACCGGTGGTTAACTTTAATCTTCATTATTTTACTCTTCGATTAGTTAGTCATATTCGGTCCAATTGTATGGATATTCTGTTCTACCGCTCTGTAATATCTAGTGAATACAGCTTCATATAAACATATGGAATAAGAAAACATAATTTTATCAGAATTGTAATACCAAATGATTATTTAGAGGTCACTATTTAGCGCGGAATGAAAAAACCACATGTTTAATAGGTTTGTCTTGTTACATAGTCGCAGTACCAAGAATTATACGACATCCTCTATCGGTTAATCTTCACCGAATTTATTTATCATATC